CACCTTTTTATTGTCTCTATTTTTCATGATCAAAAAACTGCACTGCAATTAACTATGTACACTTAATGTCCCGAATTCGAAAATTTCCGATTAAAAACATCTTAAAACATTTAAATGCACAGGAACCAGAAACTGTCTAAATGATACACCCTTCACCGTACTGTTACAGAACAGAGCAGGCGCATCATCACGTACCCAATGTAATGATATTAAACTTCTTGATTCTCACTTCCCACTCATTAGAAAATGTACGCTTTGTTACTAATAGCCTATAGTAACATAATAAATGAAAGTCAATGCAATTTTTATTTTTTACGGAACATACCTACCAATAACAATTCAACAATTAACAACAACACTTTTATTATAAGTATTCCTTGTTGCTTGCTATTTGCTTTGACTAATAATAATATATCACTTGTCTATGTAGCAAAAATGTATGAAGGTACCGTTATGTTGGTATAATTTTATGCAACAATAAATAAAACAATAATTATGTAATCTACAAACCAAAAAATGTTTATCTAACTGCTTAGTTTGCCCCCAGAATTATTTATTAAAAATCATTAACAATGTAGACGATTATTGTTCTTCAAGTAAAAATCATTTATATTTTTTAAAATGACCAATAAATCAGTAAACCTCTATGTACAATCTTTTAGCAGTCTCAAATGTTTTTGCTTTAAATTTTTATTTTAACAGCATATTAAGTCACACAAATTTCTATATTTAATCGTTGTACAAATTTTATTTTATTTTTTTACTTTACTAATTTCGTTTCTGCGACTTTAAATATAATTCAGGTGGATCAGAATTAGGATCTGCATTTGTAATTTGTTTGAACATTCCCAACATCAAAGTGGGTATTGTAGTTTTTCTTAATTTAATATTAAATTCTTTCAAAGTTTCTTGAAACACAGGTTCGAGGTATTTTAATTGGCCATGGTCTAAAGTGGGAAAGAAATGATGCAGCGCATGGTTTCCAAAGTTGGTAAGAATTAGAAAATGAGAACCATCTATTTCAAATCTATCCATTACAGCATCTAATTGTCCTAAACCCCAATCGAAAGGTATTTCTGGTCTAAAGTGTTAATGCAATTCGGAAAAGTTAATAATTATCACAATGTAATAATTTACCTTGGTTTATCCCCGTCGTGGAATATTTTGGGATGATGATGAGCTGCTGTAAAACCGATTAAATTGAAATATAAACTGGCAACTAAAGTGGCGGTAAACCACATTTTAAATGCAATCCAAAATGGCTGCTCACCCAACACGTACATAACCAACAGAGGAAAAAAAGAAACCAAATCGTGAAAACCAAAATGAGAAGTTCGTTTCAAAACAAGAAAAATGAGTATCCTAAAAGACCGAGTCAATAAACACCCATAAAAAATAAATGACGATATTGTAATTTACCTTTTTATGACTCCTATGTGATTTAAGGTAAGCCAGTAAAATGGCGCATATATTATTGACAGATACCTGTGTACAAACGACTTTCTTTTGGGCAAAAATTCCATTATAGGTTCGTGAAGTGAAATTTCCAAGTCCGCAATTGTGTTAGTATACAAGTGATGACTAAAAATGTGAAACATCCGAAATTCGCTAAAAACGTGACAAAGTTTAGAACGTCATATTTGTTTGACTTCAAAATAAACTTTACCGTGACTGCAGCAAAGACAAATCGGGATAATACATCCTCCAGTTGTCTTTTCGATGCATATAATTATGGCCTGCTATAGTTACCAAAGCCATTAAAATACCGCAAATAGTCGCAAAATAGAAATCAATATAACGGGTGGCCAAAACTCCAAAAAGAAACAAACCAAATGCCATTATATCCGAATAAAAGTTTGACCAACGACTATCTCTTTTTGGAAGGTCTTTGAGAAGGGGGCGAACTTTTCTTTTAAGTGTTCTATAAAAACCATCGTCCTTAAAACTAAATGGCGAATTTCGTGAAGTTTTAGCCTTCCTTTTCCAGTATTTAGGAAGAAGCTTTTCCGGAGAATCCGAAATATGATGAACTTCGAAAGCTTCTGTAATATCAGTTCCCTAAAATATTTTTTATTACAATCGAACTTTACTTACTTATTTACTTACTTTGGTCATTTTCAACCAAAACGCCCCACCAGGGTGTTTGTCTATAAAATCGTTTAAATCATATAAATCGTCATGGATTCTCCACAAACCCTCGGCCCCATCATCAATACGTTTACCCTCGAGCCAAATATCTGTGTTTTTTAAACGTAAATCTCTGTAAGTTGGATATTTCATCCCCAATGTGGATTGTAGGGGTATATTTTGGGCCTTTGGAGCCATTTTTTACACCGACTCAGCGTAATATTGCTTTCTCAATGTTTGTGATGGTAATTTAATCAAATTTAAACAAAAACACCATCTAAATAGACGCGATAGAAAACATTTTAATTCGTTTATCAGGGGTTATGAACTTTTTAATAAACAAACGATAAGGAGCCTAATTGTTATTTAATTTGAATTTTCTTTCGTCGATAAAGAGTAATCTATATACGTAAGCATTAAAACAAATTATGATAGCTTTCAGTTGATAACCTTCTTATTTAAAAACATAACAATAACCAAATAATAACAAGTATACGTTTGTAGCATAAAAAAATTTATTAGGATACATTTTTGTAAACACTAGTTAAGTTTACAATTTCCGTTTGGCACTACACAGCCACCGAAGAATATATAGCGTATATAATAGCCACTATCTATTGTAACCTCAAAATATATGCCTTAAAACATGTACAATTTTTAACTAAAATGAGTCAGTTTTTAATGAGTGTTACTGCTAGAACAGATAACTAGTAGAATAAAAACTTATTAGAATATTTTGTAACATTCTGCACAATGATTTTTAAAACATTTACTTATTTGTATATTTTAAGATTTGCTTGGTCTAAAGTGGTTGAGCCAAATTTTGCTTTATATCATTTGATAAAAAATAACGGTTTTCATAGGTTTGTTTATACTTTTATATTATTAGAAAATAGCTGGGTTATACTGTTTTTTAATAGGGAGTTTGAATGGTTCCTAGAGTCAACATTTATTGATGAGCCAACTAATAACTTTTCAAAATGTGAATATGTTCTACAAATTGTCATTCCTACTGGTATGTTCGTTAATCCAGACGAAATTGCAGATTTAAATAGGAAAAAAATGGTAATGATATGAAATGGGAATTTGTACTTGAAGTTGGAATTGGTCTCACTCCAATTTGAACTTTGAGAATGAATTTGATTACATTCAAATTAAATATTGTAATTAAAAAAACTCATAAAACATTGTCTTAGATAAATGCGTTTTTGGATGGCTTTGTTGACATAGAAGCTCCTGAATATGAAGCCAAAGAACACACCATTTATATATTTTTGAATGGTAGTAAAATAAGAAGTACAACAGTAATGTTGCCATTTCATTTAAGATACCACAGGGCGACTTTTGGAGGGGGGTAATTAATAATTTAAATTGATTTGAAAAAAAAGACGAGAAAATGTAGGTTTGCAGAGATAAACATTAATAAACCATCTTTACTTGTTTATTGTCCCTCTGGAATGTTAACATTTTTTGAGAATAATCCTATAGTTGAGGGCGTTTGTGATTTGAAAGGCCAGACTAAATGTGCTTGGTGGAATATCACGTACAAAGCGGTTTGTATAGATTTTACTAAAAATATTCTGATTCAAAAGTATTATTATGTCGTAGTTTTTTGAGGATGCCCAAATATTAGTACCAGTTGGAAATTTGGACCATTTTCCTTTTGTTGCCATAGTTTCCTTAATTTTAGGCTGCCTTGGGTGCATTTATGTATTATCAGTATTATCTTCTAGAAAATGAGACTGAATACTTTTTAAATTAAGTTTGTACCTACTTTCCTTCATTGCATTGTTATTAATAATTTTAATATCTGAGTTAAATAAACGATTTTAAACATAATTTATTGTTTTTAATATGTTTAGAACTTCTTGATGTATAGTAGGTACTTTTGAAATTGCTCATGGAGTAGCGCAGGTAATGCAATTTAAATTAGGATACACTTTGTAGAAAGAAAATAAAAGGTGTTGCGTATAACGCGCCTGTCATATATGAAGAACTAACGTGTAAAAAATGAATTTTAAAAAGTTTTTTGTTCTTTGTGTAACTCATTTCAAAAGTAATAAAAACGAAGAAAACAAAAAATATGAAAATAAATTTTAAAATAGTGAATTAACGACTACAGCAGTTAATTCGTTGGGTAATTTGTGAAACACATAACAAATGCATTATGTTTATGTATTTAAAAAGTCCAGATTTGTATAAAAAATAGTAGACATTATCATTTTTAAATTAAACTACAAAAAACACATCATCAAAAGTATCGCCAAAGAAGAAAAAAATAAGTAAATACTGTAAAGCCCTTTTCTATAAAATCCGGCTTCGTACACATTTGGTAACACCTTATGGTAATACCCCAAGTGCCCAAGTCATTAAAAGTGGGGAAGCTTTTTACCATGAGAGGCCGCTAGCGCTACAACGCGGCAGCATTGTAATTCATATTATGCTCAAAAGGTGGAAATACGTTATTTATGCAATTCTATTTTCAAAGTGTGATATCCAGGCTTCGGATAATTATGCATTAAAAAAGTACAAAATATGCATGCAAATATGCATTTAAAATATTAAATATATGCATTTAAATATGCTTTCAAATGTCGTTTTTTAGATTGAAATAAAACAAATTTTAAGGGTNACCTAGATTAGATTACTGTTCGCAAATAGTTAAGGATGTGGGCTGTTCTAGTTTTAGGGAAATGCGAATGATGATGATGATGATATAATAAATTTTCAAATATAAATTTAGGGCGATTATCAGATAAAATATTTTTAATTTCTGAAAAACATCTTTCCACGTCACAGGAAACTACAGGAGCAAAAGATAAATCAACTACGTCCGTAATATTCAAAATATTGAGAGCAACAGCATCAGTTTTCTTCCTCTTGTAAAACCTTGCAAATGTTTATTAAATTTTGATATCCCATATTTTTTGCAATACTGACGACAGTTTATTAGCAAAACTGCTTTTTTTTAATATATTTAATTTATCAAAAACATTTTCGACAATCTGTATACTATTTTCTAAACAGAGTCCTTAAGTTTCCAATTTCAAAATAGCGTCAGAAATACAACTAAAATTTAATTTGCATCCTCAACGCACTGCGATTCCTCAGGATCGAAATCGTTAATAATACGGGCAATAAGTTCAAAATCCAGGTGCCCCATCTTGTAACAATTGGGGATGGAGGAAGTGGAATCTCACTACCGACAATTTCTTTAAACTTAGCAACGCGAGAAGGTGCTTTTAAAAACACTTTCTTGGTCGACGATATTAAGAAATTCACATTTGCGTAAACTCGTAAGGGGGTGAGTAAGTATTTGACCTTGGTAAGCGTATAAATTATATTTGTAAACAAGTTTTAACTACGAAATATGCAGATAAAACTTAAAATGACCAAAATATGCACTTTAACCAAATAATGCATTAGAATATGCAGTTATGCAAATGCATAATAATCCGAACCCTAGTGATTTCCATCATTTAATATTAACTAATATGAGGGCTAGCTTTCATGACAATTGCACAATAAATTCCCGATTACACGTTCCCCATTACCGCTCTTGGTTGCAGGGACTGCTTAAACTTTTACGGGGCCGGGTACAATACAGAAAACGGGAGCGTTGAGACCGTAATTGAGGAGAGGATGGAAAGGACTTGTATGAGTTACAGGGTCATCGAAAATTTAGATACTTTTAGTCGGTTTTATAAGTTTAATATAATCCGAACATAAAAAAACAAAAGCCTTTGCATCAACAATATGACATCTCACAGTTCGCTCTCTATTATCATGTTATCATGGTCAATCCTAGACGCTTTTCTTATTGGGCTATGGAAGATCGGAAGTAACTTTTAATGAGTTTTAATTGGGAAAAATTCGCCGCGTACAGCGTACCTTTCGCTCAGTTGTTGAATAAATTTTACTAGAAGCATCGCTAATCCATTCCTTTTGGCGCTTGTACAAATTCGAATCTTTTCAGATTTCTATTCAATCTCAAAATTATATCCTACATCTGACTCTCTAAAAGGATTAAGTATCCATTCTCAGACAATTTGAATTTAGTTTACCTTTCATCTACTAATTTAATTTTTTACAGAGGTTTAACGAAATGCACACATTATATATAATAGCTCAACATTCTCTGATTGGTATTGAACGTTTTTACTTTTTTCTGTCCTACCTTATAATTAGATTCACTAGTTTGGTCTCTCCCCAAACCTTACTGTCAATTAGTACGTAAGTACCCCTCTGTAATAGTTTAAAATTGTATGTCTTAACTCATAGTTTCAAAATATCTTAGAGGTGGTTCCTAACTGTATAATAAGCTTTTGAACTTAAATTAAGTTAGTTTCTAAACTGGGGATGACATCTTATTGAGTGCCAAAACACGTATTAGGTTTTTAAAGGTTTTTTTATGAGGACTTTTAGATTTTAAGGGTTCATTTAGTTCGTTAGGGTTACCAAATCTTCAGTTTTTGTCCAGAATAAGTTTTTTTTCCGGAGTCTATTTTATAAAAAATAATCTCCGGATTATTCAATTTCCATAAAAACCAAATTTTAATGTTTCTTTATTGTCAATGTTCTTATTGAATGTCACACACAATGTAGTTACTATACTAATTTTCTACCTAGAGCATGGAGTGAGCTAGTGAACGCTATTATTTTGAATACTTGAATTTGTATTATTTCAAATTTTTAAATAAACAAGTTAATTAACTGATTAATCCACTAGTTGATTACTTTTTAACTATCCAAAACGAATAATCCTTTTTTTGTACTGTCATATATTTATTAAATGTTCCTAAAATTTTTAAGTTGGTAACCCTACGTAGGGATATTCTATTATATGCGTCATCTTTTGAAAAACACGACGTGGTATTGGAAAATTTGTACAACTTTCACTTATCTTTTCATTTAAAAAATAAAGTACCTAATACAAATCCAATAAGTGTAATTTACAGCCTTGTATTGGGGGTTAAATTTTCAGATAGACATGGTTGAAAAAACATTGAACACCTTTACCAAATTATTTTCGCTTGTGCGATATGAAAAGAAAAAATGTCGTCAAATAAATTAGAAACATGTAATTTATATGTTCGGTAAAGTACATTTTCTAAGGATATAATACAGCAAGAACACAAAGATAATCCTTTATTATTTTAATTTTACCTGTAGTTACATCAACAAATTTTACAAGTCCATATATAATATAGTATATTATTTAAGTGGTAATAATAAGGTACATGTTATAATACAGAAACAGGAAAATGCATTCCTTTAAAATTCACGTTGCGTAGTAAATTAATTAAATGCATTTGTGGAAGATTTTTATTTTTTGAAGCAGCTAATTGGATTGAAGTAACATTGACGATAACGACTTTGTCTTTTAGANAAGTTTAAATTTTCTACTTGAATAACCATGCAAAGCCCTGGCTCCCATTGAATTTGTTTGCTCAGTTGTTTGTTATTGAAGTACAAGTTAGTGTTGTATATAAATACCTGTAGATATTCTTTCTTATGAATAAATAGATTAGTTTTTTATCAAAAAAATTTATTTAAATGCGAGTACTATTAATTTTTGGCAAGAAAAAATTTTGTTGCTCTTTTCGACTCTTCTGACTCAAAACGTTGCCGACCCCTGCCCTAGATCTATCGACGTATCGACCGATGCAGCAGAATGCGATGATATTGAAAGCCAGATTCGGTTTTCAGTACTACTAATACTGTCGCTTGTTAGATATGCTGTTATTCGAACTAATGTAAATATGACAAGCATAATGTTTTAATGTTCATTTAGTCTAATGATTCAATCTTTTTTTTGGGAAATAAAACTCCAAATGGCGGTGTAGTGTTGCGTTTTTGGTAAAAAAAAATATTAGCAGAAAACGTACCTATACACCAGTGATTCCGAACCTGGGGGTAATTACCCCCGCGGAGGTAAATCAATTATTCTGTGGCGGTAACAAAGAACCTAATAATTAAGACCTAATCTGATACAATACGTAGCTAGATGGTAAAAATATAAAATTGTAGATATGTCGATGTTTATACAACTGTATGCACAATTGGTAAATATTGAACCAAACAAGATCACATTTGAAAATTCTGTAGTTCGGCACTTATCTGCAGCAATAAACTCACTGAAGCAATATTTTCCGGATATGGATAATCGTCAGTCCAGTTCTTGGATATTAAGACGATTTACTACGGATTATAACACTATTAAAGACGAAGACCTGACGGCCAAAGTGGAATATCTTGGACTACGCCAGAATACTACTTGCAGAGTAGAATTTCAAAATTATGATCTTAGCACATTTTGACGAAAAGCTGGTGACGAATATCCTGCTCTAGCTAGGCAGAGCTTTAAAAATTCTAATACCCTTTGCAACCACCTATAGATGTGAGAATGGTTTTTCATCTTTGGTTACACTGAAAACCAGAAAAGACCAGAATCCTTCTAAATATGGAACATGACTTAGAAAGCGCCTCAAGCGAAATTAAAGCTAACATAAAAAAACTTGAAAAATGCAAAATAATACCAACCAACACTAACTATTAAAATAAAATAATTCGAAGTGGTCTGTATTCTGCCGAAACTGCCAGACGTGGATCGCTATTTCGATCTTTTTGGATCTCATCAGCGCGTCGCAGGCAGCCCGACAGAACACAGACCAACTTTTACCTGCTTCTACTAGTAAACGCCATCTGCAGCACGATGCTACATTTTAGTGTTTAGGAGCTGCCTGCGACGCACTGATGAGATCTAAAAAGATCGAAATCGCGAATTATTTTATTCGATTAAGCTAGCGTGCCTATCACGTTGAGGTTGGCTACGCCGG